TCTAGTTTTAAAAATGTGTCCAGCCCATCTAAATCTCTAAACTTTAACGAATTTCACAATATCTGGATCGGTGTATAACTGATATAGTTCAAAGTTGTATCTTCGACGACATAGCCCATTTTCATTTACGACCCCAAAAAACATTTGTAAAAATGTTTCTCTCAAAAATACCAAAAAATCTTTTTAAGATAAGGTCCACGTTTCAGCCCCATATATCAAAACCGGTCTTATTAAGGTCTTGTATGTATTGAGCTTTACTGCACGTTTTATATTTTTAAATGTTTCTGGAGACCATGAACAGTTCTGTTTGATATTTCTATGTGTCTTTTTATTTCTTCGCTTGTCGTGTTTGCTGCGTTTACTAGCGATCCAAGATATGTAAATTCTTTGACTTGCTCAAAGGTATGGTTGTTAATTAGAATTCTCTGTTGGATATTTCGGGGGTTTTTAGAAACCAACATATATTTGGTTCTTTTCCTCGTTTACCACAAGTCCTAATTTACTTGCTGCGTCCACAAGCCTTATAAAACACTGCAATTTTCGTCGATCTATTAAAAATAGTTCCATTCATTCTAATATTTAATTCTCTGATTGCCGTTTTTAAGGCAATATTAAAGAGGAGACACGCCAGAACGTTCCCCTGTCTTGGACCATTATTAATGTTAAAGAACGTAGAGTTTTCTTCTTCAATTCTAACACATGAGCTTAAATTTGCATTGTTACTTGGATTAACTTAACTAACTTAGGTGGGATTCCAAAGTCTATCGCCTTATATAATACAGTTCTTTTCACAATAGCATAGGCTGCTTTGAAGTCGACGAAGAAATGGTGTGTATCTATGATTTATATTCTAGTGACTTCTAGAATCTGTCTATGTGACTGAATTTGATGTATAGTTGACTTTCCAGCAGTAAGTCAGTATTAATATTGACCAACAATATCCTTTGTAAGTTAAGTCCTTTAAACAATACATTGCCAAAGATTTTATAAGCAGATGTAATGATTCTATAGTTCTTCCACTCCAGTTAATCACCATTTTTAAGCACCGGAAATATTCCCTTTAGCCACTCTTCTGGTACCAATTTATGGATTGCTGCAAAAAGAACCTACTTCTCGTCTACAATAATATTTGTCTTAAAGTGTCAATAAGCTGGTTGTTTTATAAACACAATTGAAGCCGCTCTTCCGACCCTTAGATAGGGTCATGCGTAAATTATGTAAGTCAAAAATCAATCGCAAATTGGAGTCGTAGTTGGTTTCAAGTCGCTAAGCAGCGTATGCGTGACGATCTCTTAAAAATGTAGTGAACTTTGATAATTTAAAGATTGGGCTATTAAAAATTCGGTATAAATCTAAAACTTGAAAAAACCAAACACATACTGAATCAACGCCTTCATGTCTGTTAAGTTATATCGAAGGAAGATCTTTTAAAAATTTCATGGTACTAAAATGTTTTGTACTGTACCCTCAGAGGAAAGGAATTCAATATGCTTTCCACAAACAATTGGTGGAGATTACGGCACAATTTTCAACAATATCACTAACAAAATTAAGTAGACGGAAAAATACATAATTGTCATTTTTTTTTATTTTGTCAGTTTCGGTAGAGTAGGTCTTTTTTTTCTAAATGTGCCTATATTGTAGAGATCTTAACGACCACATTGGCCCCTCTTATTCTATTCACAGCAGCTCGAAATAAATCAGTTGACGTTAGACCCGTCTACTTCCTAAGATTGGCCAGCCAGGATATACGTCTACGTTCAGGGCCTTTCTTACCCTCAATCTTGCCTTGTAGAATCAACTGTAAAAGTCGGTATTTAGTATCACGCATGATGTGGCCTTTTCTGTTCCTTTCGGTGTTAATAATTTCTTTGTCTTTTCTTAGCATCTGGAGAATAGTTATGTTACTTGTATGGTGTATATATGAGACCTTCAACATACATATGTAGCACCACATAGAGATACATGTGGTATCACCGGTAGAGTAGGTACCTAGTTAGAAATAAGATGCATTTGCGTTTTTATCAGAACAATGCATATGCTGAGCGGTGTCCCTTCCTAAATTATTCTTATTAACGTTTATTTCCAGAAATCCTATACTGTTGCTATCTAGAGGACGGTTTATTACGTTTGTCAGTTATTACGTTGACCATTCAGTCAATGATAATTGGTAATTCAATCGTCTGTCGGTTAGATCCGTCTTCCATTGTGCTTGATATTTTTTTGTTTTGTAGTTCATATTGAATCAGAATGGTCCTAATTTCTTTTCTGTCTACTTGAGTCAAAAATATTGCTGATAAAATTTATATAGGTATACATCAAGAGTGTTTGCTTCCGGTTCGAGAACTTTTCTCGATGTAACTTTGCTATAACAAAAAGAAGATACACTACACAAAATTTATTAGGTTAGTTAGAAAAACTACAAGTATCACGAATAATTTTTACTCATAAATACTATCACAATATTACATAAATATTAAAAAATATCATTTCACTCAGTGCATTTTTGACTACTTTATAGTCAACGTAGTCTTCTTCTCTTTCAAACACGAATGCCACATTTATATTGTTCATTTAAAAAATGCATTTTGGGTCCCTCCGTTAATAAATTCACATTCAACACTTCTATATACAAAATATAGTTGACTATGTACAATAAAAAGATGAAACGAGTTTGAGATGTTTTCATTTTCACTGGTACTCCTTAAACAAGTTTACGAAAATATATTAACATAAGTTTTTATACGAATGTAAAAAGCCAAACGTTAATAATAGAATATATATTTTTACACAATATGGCACTATAATTAAAAAGACAGTTTCTAAGTAGGTATGGCTTAAAAAGTTGAATGAGTTAAGTTCGTTATACATGCCAGTCAACTCAACCAAGTAAGCTACTAACAAATCACAGATAATACAACAAAAATATGCTCAGGAAATAAAAAAAAGTATAAAAATAACATTGAATATACCTACAGTTTCTAAAATTTATTAATTAAAATATAAAATATGCATTAAAACCATTAAATGGACCTGTTATACTTTTTTATCAGTCAGTTTATCAGAAGTCAATTTTCGTACATTTATGTTATAACTAAACATGTAAAAACTTACAATCTTCGAAAATCTACCAAATTTTCATGTGAACACTTGTCATTTACTGAGATCAGTTCCGATTGTACCATTTTCGAATGTTAGATGAAATATTAATTAGATTGGCGCGCACTTAATTCTATTCGTTAAATAGTGTAGGAAAAATAGAGTGCTTGGACGCATTCGATTAAGTTGACTGATATGTATACTTAAATAGATAGAGTGATACAAGTAATATAACTCTGGATGTATAAATAAAATCAGTAAAACCCTAATAATATGTAAAAGATAACAGTGATGGTTAAGTGATACTCGTAATTAATTTATTTTTTGTTACCAGGTTTTTCTGTCTTATAGCTAATAACTGCTGCATTAAGTGATCTACATGTTACCTGTTAATCAATGTAGCAACAAGGCAATACCAACTATTAGTGAAGTAGATTATCAATAATGTAAATTAAAGTTGTGCTGGTATTGTTACACAAATCTAGCCGCAATATTGTAGTCTCAGTAAAGATAAACGTGTTAAACAACATTGAAACAAAAATCTTATTCAAGTCAGTTAACTTAGAACTAGACTTATGAATTCCGAATATAATCAAACTAGCAAATCGGAGCTTCGAGGTCATATGCCTCCAGCTACCAAATAATATGGGATGGGATTGAACTCTTTTATGATATTCAAATACCTTGAATTGTATGTAATAAACAATAAAAAATGTAAATTATTATTAAAAATATAAATAAAAAAATCTTTTAAGTAATGCAGGAAATGGGTATATTTCGATCAAAAACATGTAGGCGTTAGAAGTTCTACAGATACACGCAATTGTCCACTGAAAGTTTGAAAGGAGAAAATTTTTTTAACACTAATGACTTTTTGAGAACTTATTTTAAGTCTAGGCTCTTGGTGTACTGAAAAAGCAGGTTTCAGCAAAATCGGTCGATTCGTTCTAGAGAAATCGTGCCTACTGCACGGAAAATCAAAGTTTCGAGAAAAACGCGTTTATAACACGAAACCGACCGCGAAGTATCCAAATCTCTATAGCTCTGGTAATATTGCTCGAACTTACTTCAATTTGGTGTGAATATATAACACTAAAATAAAATACATTAAAGTATAAAAGAATATAAACTACTATAATGTCTAAGAGCTCAAAGTATCTAAAGAAAAAGAAGAATGGAATATACCTCAAATATATGACTTTTTCCCCGTAAAACTTACATGGGAAAGTATACGAAAATGTATAATTAAAAACCATGGAAGAGTAAACTGCCCATAAAGAATTAGTAAAAAAATCAGATTTCCTAAACCTCAAGAATAATCTTTCTCTTTCTTGTACAAGATCAAATTTGTGTTAAATATAGTAGGGTTTATTGTTCTATAAATATTCAGGCTGCGTAGTGTTTGCAAAAAGTATGAATGATTATCCAAATGGGTGGATTATCCAATAAACAAAGCCGCTTGAAGCACAGCATTCTTTTCTTAAATGTTGAATTAATATCAAATCAATTATATTTTACTTAAAAATTTTTCCAGAATTTATAGCAAATTTTAATGTGTAATAAAATTTTTCAAAATTTTGTTAAAAACGTTCATGTACCTATATTACATTAACACATGATGTATGTCACTTATAAAACTTTTCTGTGAAAGATTGAAATTTTTATTTCTAACACAAGTATCACGATAATCGAACCTAAATTAACTTGATCAGTTAAAACTTTTTACATTGCTTATCGAAATCATTCGGATACCTAATAATGAATAATATATATACAATATTTTTTTATAATTTAACAAACATTAATAAAACTCCTTGGCTGTAGTAAGCAATATTACTGTTGTTTTAAAAAATAAACTTGAAAACATCTCGCTCTCGTACGCCATCTACTATTTAAACCTATCACAGCAAGTTTGTTATGGCACCGCCGAACCAAGCCATTATCATGGGCAGAAGGTACGTGATCAACGCTCTAGTAAGCGACATATTGTTCGTATTTGTATTTGCACTAGACGCTGTGACTACTTCAGGAGCACGCGTACTACTAGACGTCGATATTGGGAACGCTCTGTTGTGAACTTCATCCTCTTCCTTGTTTGGTTCCTCGAATGTTAGTTCCTTGTCGTCCTTCACCTGAAATGAAGAAATTATCTAAGTAAAGTATTCTGAGTAATAAAACAATAGTCCCAATAGTACTATTAAAATAAAGTGAAACCTGAATAACGTATAACCTATTTAATGGAGAAAGGTGCCGGATTAGCAGCTGAGAGAACATAGTAGCAATTAGCTTCACCATTCATTGTCCAATGGCGCCACTGCATGTACAGTTGCATTCCTAACGGAAGCTTGTCGTGACTTGCCCCTGGCCAGTGCATAAGAACAATCGAGACAGACACTAAGTCGGTTTTGGTAAAAATAGATCATAAAAAAGAATATTTATGATCCAGAAAATGCATGAATCTAGGTGTTCTACATTAGCTATGAGTTAATTGTCAATGGTTTTTAGAGGTTAGTGTGACAATGATATCGTAGTATACAAAGTTATGTAGCTTGTAGATTAATAAACAATTTCAATGTATTTTGGATAATAGGTATCTATAAGGTGTGATGGCATATTATGACATCTCACCCAGTGGACGATGCAGGGAGTTTCAATAAGTCAGACTTCATGTTGTTTATTATTTACAACGTAACATAATTTTTTAAGTTGGTTCATATTTATAGCAAAATGATTAGTTTTTATTTTAGAAATGGCACCATACATTCGAAAAACAGCAAGGTAAACATAACAGCTACTATGCTTTGACGTCGAGGACAAAAAGGAGAAACGTCTAAAGAGTATTTAGGTAGTCACAAAGCTACATTTAACAAAGAACTAGACCAACAAATATGAACATTTACAAGAATTGAAGGTGCGTTTTTTCCAATGACTAGAACGAATTTGGAAATACTTGCTTTAAAAATAGCTGTTGCTAAGAAACTTTACCATAGATTTTCTTTGGAAAAAGAAAAGGCACGTTTGGCCTGGCTGAGAAGCCTTAGGCAATGAATGAATGAAGATATATTTCCTGAGTGGATGTTGGCGTTTGCAAATGTCACTGATTATGATCTTGGATCTGATTTTTTTCTGATCTTGATCTTATTTATAACACCTTGGTACGTAGTATAATGACCTATGGAGCAGAGAATCGGGTAATAAATAAACGAAACAGGTCCAAAATCATAACAAAAATAGATCGCATCAGAAATGAAGAGATAAAACGAAGAATGGCAGTAGAACAAGAGATACTCAGCTACATCGAAGAAAAACGTTTAATTTGGTATGGACATGTGAGAAGAACAGATCATACAAGGTGGATAGCAAGGATTTCGGATTGGAGCCCAATAGGAAGGAGGAAAAGAGGTAGACCCCGAAGATCATGGAGGGATGAAGTGGACGAGGACCATGGAAAGACGAGACCTTAGAGATGTAGAATGACAGAACAGGAGGACTGGAGACGTTGACTGAAAGAAGGAAGGCGGCGACAGCTGTAAAAATCCTTATATAGATAGATATGATCTTGGAGATTTTTCTCTTAATATCGTATCAGACAATGCCAGATTCTTCTTCTTTCTTCTTTAAGTTCCATCTTCTATCGAAGGTTGGAAATCATCATGGCTATGCGGACTCTGTTGACTGCCGCTCTAAAAAGTTCTGCACTACTGCATTCAAACCATTCCCTTAAGTTCTTAAGCCAGGATATTCTTCGTCTTCCCACATTTCGCTTTCCTCGGATTTTGCCCTGCATAATAAGTTGTAATAATGCGTATTTTTGCCCTCTCATCACATGTCCCAAGTACTCAAGTTTTCGTCTTTTAATAGTTAATATTATTTCCGCCTCATTTCCTATCCTTCTAGTTACTTCCATGTTTGACATTCTTTGAATCCATGATATTCGTAGGATTCTTCTGTAACACCAAAATTCAAAGGCGGCCAACTTATTCAGATGAACTTGTTTTAGTGTCCAAGCTTCCAGACCATAAAGAAGAGTAGAGAACACGTAACATCGAAGCATTCTCAGGCGTAGTTCTAACCTTATATCCCGACAACAAAGAAACTTTTTAAGTTTAATAAATGATGTACGTGCTATTTCAATACGTGTCTTAATTTCTTTGGTTTGGTCTACATCTGATGTTATCCATGTTCCTAAATATTTATAGTTATTAACCTTCTCAATTGCAGTATCTTCAATAGTCAATTGGATATTTGCATGTGCAGATTTAGTCATGATCATGCATTTAGTTTTCTTTAAATTTATCTTCAGTCCGTACTCATGACAGCGTTCATTAAGGCGTTGCATTACGTTCTGTAAATCATTGTTGTTATCCGTAATTATTACTGCATCGTCTGCAAAACGTAAGTTATCGTCCAGATACCAAGAGCTTTATTTGAACAGCTATGGTGAGGTGTCATCTTTAGATTTCCAGGCTTCCCAGCGTAACGACCAAACTGAAGCAGGCTCTTTTAACTCTACAAGCTCCCAAACTGAGGCATTGTGAACTCTCAATCAAATGACCAAACTCAGACAAGGCCTTTAGTGACTATGAACATTTAGTCCAATAATCAAACTCATTTAAGTCTAATTATATAGCAGATATTTTACGGCCCAAATCTACACAAATAGACGATTAGTTAATCGTAAGAAAGGTAAATTTGGAATGCTGAATGCATATTCAGATCTAACTCAACTATAAAAGCTATTGTTGCTGAATACAAGGCAGCCAATAGGCAATCTGCTCGACGGGATCACGTCGGCAGCTTCCAGTAATGAGGAAGAACCGATTGCCCCGAATAATGAAAACCCATTCTGCAATTATTCCATGGAAACTTGGAGGCACTCCCACTCCAGAGAATGTTGGCTGCAGTGTCAAGTATGTCACCAATGGTATCACGCAGAGTGCATTGGATTACCAAAATTTGCTTTTTATATGATAAACATATAATTTGTTATAATTGCAAGTAATATATTGTCTATGGTTGAGTGTATGCCATCTTACCCACGGAAGTTGGGTATTATAGATTTTCCAGAACTTTTAAAATTTAATTATTTACTAAAGAAAAATTATTTTAATTTATTTAGATAATTATCTACATCATCAGAAAAAAACATATTTGTAAGATGGTTAAATTTTTCTCATATTGTGTACAAGTTTTGAGCTAATCAAAATGCAATTTTTTGGCACGCACGCGTTCTTTTTGACATTCTGACATTCTTTGACATTCGATAATAATCAAAATGATGTCACAAGTTTATTATTATTCTTACGTAGAATGTATGTATATAAATAAGTATCTAAATCTTTGGTAAACGGGCAATATGTTTATAATAGAATAATTACCGTCGTTTCTCCTTCTTCCTCTTCCTCAAGTCCATCTCCTGATCCAGATCCACTACCATCTAATATTTCCTCTGTATCATCCACCATTTCAACTTCTTGACCTTGATGAGCCTTCCTGAGTTTCTCTGTAAGACCTTGAAGAGAATACGTCTGCTCATTGAGTATGGGATGGTCACCTAAGTTGATTTTTGTTTGGATAATTGTATTATTTATATTTGTTCCATTCCAACATTGGGAAGATGTCGAATTTATTGAATTCAGTATCGATAAGTTGTTACAATATTGATAGGGAAGATTTTGCCAGAATTGTTTGGTCTCCTTAATTTTCTGAAAATAATATTAAGTTTAGTAAAATAATATCTCGATCATGTTTTCTATAGCAGATACGTAAAAAATAAAGAAGCGTATTTCCGATAAGAGTTTAAAATAAATGTCTGGTATGGTATAATAGAAAATACGTTATTAAGTTATGAAAGGTCTTTCATAAGAACTGGGGAAAAATGTACCTTGCGCTTCAGCTAAACTAGGGCATTGTAAGTTTTACAAAAAAAGTTTTAAGTTATGGTTGTGTATGAAATATATTGTAGCTTGCTGCAATGAATGTAACTTTTTATTGTTATCATTTTTTTAGTTATCTCTTTAGCATAAGAAAAAGTCAGATTATTGGATCCTATGAGTCCCAATTTGTTTCTTTAAATATGTATAAAGTAGGTATACATATCAAAACTACGCGATTTTCTTCAAATATATATATATATATATATATATATATATATATATATATATATATATATATATAGTATTTTTTTTCAAAATATATTAAATGTTTAAATGCAGTAATCATAAATTTTTTCACTAATTAACAAATTGGTAACTAAAAATGTTCACGCTATTAAAAATGGGACGGGATAGATCGATTCCACGCGTCTGTTCGTGTTGGAACTTGAACAAGAGTTAAGTAAAACATAATTATTATTTACTTATGAACACACAGTTACAATTTGTTACCCATTATTTATTGCTCACCTTATATAAACCCCTTTGCAAATTAAACTTATACTTTACCATTAATTTGGCATTACTTTATTAATTCCTTTGATCTAAAACGAGAAACTTAGTTCAATAAACCAATTAAGTAAATATACACATTGATTATTTCTTCAAGTTCTTCTAAATGTTTAGTTTATTTACTGTCTGATAAGAGAAACAAAATTATGAAGTGATGGAAGAGAAATGATGTTTACGCGATCTCAGTATTTTTATGTTAAGTAGACGATTGTTAATTGATGCCAATGATATTTTCAAGGGCAGTTATAAAGTCTTACAGTAGTCAATGTTTGATGTTAATAACTTCAATTTTCGTTTACTTCTTGTGCAAATAAGGTTTACTAGTATTTCGAGGTTACTTGGTTTTAATAATTGTGAATACCAACTCAAACAGTACTAGTGTCAATATTTAATCAAATTTAAATAATTCAATGTTGAAAACCAAAAGTAATAAATACCTAATAAAAACATAGAACGAGTAATTGTAAACTACTAGTGTAGGTAAGTTGAAGATGATGGATAAACAGACATTCATATGATAAACTACCAAACAATTAAGAGACCCAGCAATTCATAAAGTTTACTGTATCCAAAGACACTCAGAAAGAAACTTAAATTGAGTAAAAAATGTTAGTAAAAGTTTCCGGTCTTGAGGACCAAGTCTTTCAGCAACATCACTGATTTTTTCTTGTTGATTCCACAACCGCAAATCAGTTAGTAAAAGTTTAACCTCGATCGTATTCACAAGCACACAGCAGTGACCATTCGCTGGTACCTTCCTAATTAAATTTAACTAAAATTAATGATTGATGATAACATTTTTCTTATATTCTAAACAATTTACCTATTAAATCTATCTAGTAGGTCCAAAGGTCTCGTAGATGCTTATCACTACACTTTTTTATATCCTCGCGCACAACACTCACTGAAAGTCTGAATGATCACGATGTATGACTTGGTTAGGGGCCTAGTACGGTGCATTAACAATCTCTCTAAGGACCTTGAGTTGGAACCTGTGTAGAATATGCAGATCCAGATGGTTTTTAGAATTACTTTATACACTAATAATTTATTTTCTAGTTCAGATCTTCTTCCAAGTAGCCAGTAAAGTCGTCTTAATTTTAATCTAAGTTGGTTTCGTTTATTGAAGATGTGGTTTCTCCAAGTAAGACGTCTGTCTATTAAGATGAATGCCGAGGTATTTTGCACTATGGGATTGCGGTATATCTTGGAAGTTTAGTTGTACAGGTGGGCATGTCAGACGTTTAGTTGCAAAAGTTACATGGTTTGATTTACTTTTATTAACCCTGATTCACCATTTTCTTAACCATATCTGAATGGTGTTAAGTGGACTTGTAACCTAGATGCTTCGATAGAATTTATGTGGAACGAGAGTATGTCGGTGTCATCAGCAAATGTTGCAAAGGAGCACTGATCAGAAGTGGGTAGGTCATTCGTGCATAAAAGGTATAAGAGTGGACGAAGCACACTACCTTGAGGTAAGTCGGAGCTTATGGGTCTCAATACTGTTACTACCGTACCATATTTTATCTGGAAATATATGTCTGTTGTGTTAAATTTGAATCTACTATAGTATTTCGATGGTAGTTGTTTAATTTTATAAAGCAAACCTATATGCCACACTTTATCAAAAGCTTGTGTGATGTCTAAGAAGATTGTAGAACAGTAACGCTTTTCCTCCAGATCCTGGCTAATATATTAATGGGTTATCCTGGGTTATATTAATAATTCTGTGCACTTGGTCAACTGCAGCGTGTTTTGGTTGAAACCCAAACTGGTAGTCAGGAACTAAGCAGTTTTCTTCTAGGAAAAAACTCAATTTCTTTATTACTAGTTTCTCAAGAATTTTAGCAAGACTTTCAAAGAAGTAAAAAGGAAAATATTATAATAATACCGCGTTGTTGATTTGTGTTAACAAGAGGATCGCATTTTGTGGTAATTGACACAAGAACAATCCAGTAATCAGCTCGCTCATTGAGTATTGCGTCAATAATTTCGGCGTCAATAATCTGGTAAGGCAGTTCAAATATCTGAATAGTTTTCTCTTCCTCTGGTTGTAAATCACAGCGAAATGGAGTAAAGGTAGTTTTTAGGTGTTGGAGTAATATATTTGCCTTTTCGTCATCATTGCGTGCTCAATATCCGTAACTCGTGTTGATAGGTTGTATATGTTGTTGTGGTCGTAACAATTTTCTGATAGACTTTCAAAGGGTGTAATTTGTGGCTTCTAATTGTAATAACTCTCTCAGGTATTTTGCAGTTGATGTATTTTTTAGATAACATAGCATTTTCTAAGTTTTCTCTTTTCTCCATTTTTTGTGTAATGGCCTAAGGATCGAGTTCCTTGTTGGGTTTATTGTTACGTGGTGGGGTGGATTCCCGGCACGCTTTCTTTATACATGTAGTAAGATAACCCACGATCAACAGCAGTGTCTAGATCAGTTTCTTTCTTTAGATATCAGTTTATTGTTTTAAGTTATTAAGTATAAGTATTAGTAATGGTTTCTATAAATAAATTCCAATTGGTTTTTGATGAATAAAGCGTAGGATGTCTAGGTAAATAAATTATTTTAGAAGAAAGGTTGAGAACTTCTGCCGAGTGATCGGATCTTAAGTCGAAACATGATTTAGTTGTTAGGTGATTACCTGCTATATATTTGGTTATACAGAAATCAAGAAGATCTGGAAGTGTTCTTCTGTCTGTTGGCCAATATGTTGGTTCACCTGTAAAGTGAGTGACATTTGGGATTATTGCCTGAAGTAATAATCTACCACGTGGGTTCATCAATCTAGAGCCCCAAAAAGGATGTTTCGCATTGTAATCACCACCGACTAGAAACCTTGATCCAAGTGATTTAAAAAATTCAGAAAATTGATTTATTTTTATTGTGTGCTTGACACGGCAGTATAATTATGATATAGTGATTGGTCCCCTCCAATCTTCAATTACTATGTTTGTGACCTGCAGGCGCGGTACTTTAGTTGTCTGTAGTTCGTAATGTTTTATACTGTTTTTGATAATCATGTCAGAACCTCCGTGTGCAATATTATCAGGATAATTTGTAGAATATAATTTATAGTTTGTCATTTTCCAATAACTTTTACCTGTAAAGTTCGTTTCGGAAATCAAGAATTGGGTAAGAAAGAGAAGCGTAGAATGAAACAATCATATAACAGAATTGGCAACAAATAGAGTGGTAAAGGTGGCGAGAGACGATTACCCAATAGGAAGACGATCAGTGGGAAGACCACGAAAACGATTTTAGGATGGAACATTTTTGACGATGGAACAACTTATTGGAGGCACATTGAAAAACAGACAGAGCCATGCCTACATAAAAAGAAGAACAAAATATAATAAAAACATACCAGACATAAAAATATTCCCAAAAGTCGGTATCGATAAAATAAACTTTCAAAAATGTATACACAAACACTACCTCATATAGTCCACCTACCGCATGATAATTATGCTTCATGAAGAGCTAACGTCATCTATCACATCAAAGAGCTGAAGTCAGCTGTAAAACTTATTTGACCAGACAATCTCCCTGCTGAATCGTACTTAAAAAATATATTCATTTCATATTTAAATATTTCAACATACCTGTTTAATATCAGTAATAATTTTTTCCAAAGGCGAGGATGTATTCTCCACGGGCGTCATTGTCTTTTTATGTTTCTTCCTACCAGGAATTTTCATTGGTTCAATTTTTATTTCCGTTGTAGGTCCATCTTGGGAAGCATCGGGGTAATCCGCTTGTCTTTTTGGCCTGCTAAAATTCGGTTTTCCACAAAGACTGTAAATTCTCTTGGAAACTTCCGTACCACTTTCTTGAAAGTTCATGATTGCCTCTGAGATTTTAATGTTAAGGGGTTCCACTACTATTTCTATGTTGTATGGACCCAGCAGTCGATCACCAACCTTGTCAATAGCATCTAAAAAGTAAAGGATGATGTTAATATTTTTTAAAATGTTAAAGGAAAGAGCAAAACGAGGGTTTAGCAAATAGCTAAGTTAAAACATAAAAACAATTTCAGCTAATTAGAATATTGAAACAATAATTTTAGTTATCTGATGGTGTCCTGTTCCTGTCTGTATTTATGAAATTATGAAATACGTAGAACTCATATTTGTTTTTAAGACTGATAATTTTTAAATCTAGAAAATTTATGGAATGATTTTGTTCTGTTTCTATTGTAAATTCAATATGACTATGGAGTGAATTAATATACGATAAAAATTGGTCAAGTTGCCTATTAGTTCATGTAAAACATACCAGTACGTCGTCTACGTATCTCCACCAATATAAAAGCTGCTTGAATACGGTATGTTTTGAAATCTTTGTTTCTAGATGTTCCATAACAATGAGCTCAGAGGATTAATTGGGCATCTTTGAGATCTTCGAATTTGAGTCGTTCTGTTGTGAGGTATTCATCGATAGGTGTTCTATATATTTTACTTTTGTAGGTGTCCCCACAACAAGAAATTCAAGGAGGATAAATCTGGTGATCGAAGAGGCCATTCAATGCTGCCTCTTCTCCCAATCCAATGCCGTGGAAAATGTTGGTCTAAATATTGACGAACAAGTAAATTATAATGCAGGGGAGTCCGGTTTAACAGTTAAATGATCTTTATCGTATTGTTGATCATTTTAATAATATTAGCCAAGGATGGATTAATTACGTCTTCTAGTAGTTGTAAATACATTTCGCCAGTCAAATTGTCAGGTAACAAAATTGTCCCTCCAGTCGATCACCGAAAATACCAGCCCATATATTTAATGTTTTGCTGTGTATGTATCTCATGGAAATTACTGGAGTTTGAATAAAATCAATAACAGCAGTTGTGTCGATCCACAGTTCCGTTAAAAAAAAGTGCATTCATCGAAGAAAAACATATTAAGGAGAAACTGTGGATCAGTCACTGCTCGCTCATCATTATTTCACAAAACTGTAAACTATGGATGGAATTTGTTCTCCTTCAGAATACTTTGGACGCTAGTTCGGTGGATTTCAGATACAGTTGCTAGTAATAATATGGGATATATTATAGGTCTAACACTGCAACTTCACTATCTTGATTAACTACAGGCTCTTCAGCTTCTCATTTTTTATTACGTATATTCCCAGTTTCCATATTTTTATACAAATTCTCTTTAAATACTAAATATACTTAATATAAATTATTGTCCATAAAATACAACGAAATGATATCTACCCTTTACGGAATGGAATAAAGTATGCTTTTATTATTTCAATTGTATTATTTCCTCTTAAATAAATAAAATAAAGTTTTAAACCGAATGTAAAAATTTAAAGACTAATGTATAAAGAATTGCAAGGACCTTAAAACTATTTCTTATTTGACAATATTCTCATTTGGGGTGATTCTTGCCTTGGCTTAGGGGTCAAAGCCCCTATTAATCGAAAACCGATGTACTTATTGCTGGATTTTTAAAAATATTGTCGGAATTCCTGGTACTGTCACTGTTTCATCCGGCCACCTTGTATATCGTACGCGTATATGTGGTAGATATAGTTCATATGCTTTTTCTTGTACTTATTTGATTACAAAAATGGTCTTATACTTCTAATCACTCAATTAATATAAAATAAAAATATTTAAAAGAACTTACCAATCAAATTATCCCAATAACTGGATACTTCTGTATGATACTTCAAACAATTTTGCATCGTACTAATACAATAGGGGGAACACGGCACACCACCATCTTCACCTTTACAAATGCCACAATACCTCATTTTCGCACTCTCCCTATAACAATCTTCACTCACTTTTAACTCCCCGAGTCTCTCGGCAGCTTCCGCAGCCTTCATCAATGATTTAAAAAATGTCCTAGTAGCCACAAACGAACGCCTCAGTTGTACTCCAAGTTTATGGGGGACATCTCCGAAAGGTTTCATTTCCTGCATGTGGCTAGAAACGCAATCGAGGTATCCTTCATCGAAAGTATATTGAGCATTGATAACAGTAAACATTCTCTGATAAAGGATGCCGAAAAATGTATCCATGGTCTCCGAGAGCCTGACTGAGCCCTTTTTATAATATGTTTCTAATTCGTCGAAGAAGTCACTGAAGACATCGGAATTTTTGAGGTAGATTTTACCGTACGTGCGTTCGAACATGTCATGAAATTCTTTTTTCGATGTTTTCATCATTCCTTGAAATTGGTCTAAAAAGAGAAACAAAGAATATTAATATATACTAAAATAGATAACTAACTCAAAAGTATAATTGTTATTTATTCATAAATAACATACAGTGTCTAACAAAAACTGCATTATCACACGTAGGATTTCCTATAGCATCACCGGTTCCAAATATATACAATGATTTTAACTAAAAGAAAACCTGGATGTTGTATAGTTCAACCGCTACCAAATTCGTACCATCTTATAGGACATAGGGAGAATACTAGAAAAGACTAAGAATATAGTGACTAATCGAGGAACATCATCAGCAATATAAGCTGAGTAACACGAAGAAATCGAAGAAGAACACGAAGCAATCCCAAAAGCTCAAATAACAGATGATCTACAAAACAAAAAAAATGCATTACATTATTCAATAACTAAGTACCACGCTAAAACCACCTACAGAAGAATTCCATGAATACTATGTTCTACTTTAAGAACTCCATGAAATGTAATATAACTCAAACAGTTTAAGCACGCGTTTAAAACGCGAGCAACTCCAATCAACACAATGATAACCAAAAAAACAGAACAGGGAAGAAGACCATGACACTATAACGCTCCAAGAAATACACAAACTACCCAAACATTAACAAGATGAAGGACCGATTAGAGTTGAGTAGAATTCCACACAAATATTGATGACTATAATTCCCTACTATTAGATATCGATAAATAATCTAAAGAGATCGAGAACAAAACGAAATAAATAACACGAGCTGCAGCTGCCAGAAATAAGGTCACTGAACACTTCAACAAGGCAAAAGTAACCATCGAAACATTGCAGGACAAAATCAACGCCTACTCAACGTGCGAGAAGAAAATGTCAAAATAAAGGAGAAATTGTGGAGAAAAGAACCTGTGGTTCGAATTGAGCAAAAAGCGAAAACGGTCAACCTTCACAGCAAAACCAAAATAATGAAAAACGAGATGAGCAAACCTAACTCAAAAAGAAGGCTATAACAAAAATAAGCAAATGAAGACCAAATCAATTCAATTTCAATTTCTAATTTAACTGAGCTACCATTGTGCTTCGTAGGGTACGTAAACCCGTTGGTCCTGGCTACGTTAAGTAGTAAGATAATTGAATTGTCCTCCGAGTAAATGTCCGCTCCAGGACATTAGCGTATGATGTTTCATTGTGATCTTTTAACTCGAAAGATACTGCTATACTTAGAACAGCTTTTGAACCAAATTTAGCGTTGAAGTTATCGATTACTATAACTATTTAATTTGCTTTATGTGAGTTGATGATTAAGGAAAGTCATGCTACTTGGTAATATTTAATTTTCAGTTTTTAGTTATATGCTTGGGTATTATTATGTGGTAATTTCTTTTTTTTTCTACAAAAAAGTCAGTTTATTGTTGGCATATTTTTGTGAGTCAATTTTGTCTATTACTATATATTATAATAAAGAATAAACGTTTCATCTTATTTATATTGTTGATGTTATCTTCAAAATAAGTTATTCCTGATCTTATTATAAGATCGACTGTCCATTAGTGATATTATCGTAATGTATTGTCTCTTGTATAATTTTGACATACTTAGCAGGAACTGCAGTGTTTTGTAGAAGCTTAGAACTTGTAGGATGTTTTATTTCAATAAAATATTAGTTTAATAAAAAATCTAAACGAGTACTTACCATCAAATTTTCTAGCTCTCGTTTCTATAATTGACGATATCTTTGAAACAGAATTTTTAATATATTTATCTACAAACAATTGATTAAATTTGTACGCATCTCTTTCTACTTCTTTTGTACAACAAGATTGGCCACATAGATCACCTGAAACAAAAATATATCTATTAGAAACCACACAATCGATGGAACGATATACATATTTCAAAATTTGATCATTATTTTGCCCTCGGTAACGGTGAATGTCGCTTAAGCGTATGGTGGACATTATTTTTAAAATTGCTAATTTGACAGAAAGATTTTGTTACATTCAGAGCTTACCACAAGTTCGCTCTGAGGAGCCCAAAAGGACGAAATACGTATAGCCGAATGGTGGTGCTCTGTATTGAAATTAAATCGTAACCGCCTTTCGTACCACCACAAGCGTTTTCGAGATCTGCGAATACTAACTGGGTATTGCAATAATTTTCTTCTGCACGTTTTTCTATTGCTTGTCTTAATACAAATATATTGTCCGGACACAATCTGCCAGCTCGAAAATAAATTTCGTATTTCTCATCAAATAAATTTGATGGTAATGGACTTTGAATTATTTTCGTTTATAATCCCCTTGAATTCTAAAAAGTTACACAACGAATATATAAATCCGAAATTGTTTCAAATGCCTTTTGAATGATTTGGAGCAGAACAAAATGACTTTTTCATAAATGATTCCAATGGCTGTTACAATACGAACCCCTCTAATAATAATAATTTCACTACTAGACCGTACCCTAATTAAGAGGACCACCCGTAGTTCCCGACCGAGTTTTTTTTCTTGACAAAATGTTACATTGTGACCAATCAGCTGCTCCATTCAATCAAAATGGTAAATTGAATCGTTCCTCAAGAGCTGTATGCTTGACTAAAATTCTTTATACGGATTAATATGAAATAAGCTGTTTTCTTTGTAGATGTTACAATAGCGATTAGACTCGAAAACTGTTTATATTTGTAGGAGGCACCTTCATTCTTACCTTTGCAGGTAATATTTAGCATGTTCTGAAAAGCGGCTGCCTTGTAAATACCTTAAATTCCAACAGTGGCGTACTACTTATAGGGAACAACTTTTAAAAAATATACTTGCAAATACAATAGTAACAAATGACGTAAGTAAATTATATTAGGATAGTTATAACATTATAACTACTGAAATAACATGAAAGAAGGAATAACGGATCGAGGTGATAATTGGAAATCGGAGAACGTTGTACTCGTACATAGATATACATATTACATTATTATTTCATGTATTTCGACAAAAATTTTTATTGGGAAACCTTGCAGCATTTGGTAAAATTAAATGACAATTGGAGGAAATTATAATGTAAATATGCGATGATTGGCACTGCTGAAATAGAACAACAGAATTTTTGGATCTTACATATCAGATGGATTAACAGGGTGAAAAATAAGAAAATATCTAGAAATTATACTAACTTTACAAGGCAAATAACTCGAATACAGTCGGAGCCATTAATATCTGACCAGATCTAAGATATACTTAGTAGCTAGTAGCTAGATACTGGCTTACAAAGCCGGACATCCCGAGTGCGATCCGGCACAGACATAAGAAATTTATCAGTATTTATTATGTAGAGGTGAAGGTGGGAATATGGCACCTTAATTTGTTTTTCGACTTCTTCTTCAGTGCCTTATCCGGTCCGGATGTTGGCGATCACCAATGCTATCATGGTTTTGTTGACTGCTCTGCGAAACAGCTCCGCTGAGGTCATACCAAACCATTGTCGGAGATTTTTCAACCACGAGATACGACGGCGTCCCGGTCCTCTTCTGCCAAATACTTTACCCTGCATAACGAGTTGAAGAATTCGATATTTTTCTTCGTTCCGCATCACGTGGCCGAGGTACTCAAGCTTACGTTGTTTAATTAAATTAAGCACTTATTTTTCTTTTTTCATGCGCTGTAGGACCTCAACGTTGGTGACATGGTCCACATAAAATATTTTTAGTGTCCTTCTGTATATCCACATCACGAAGGCTTCGATTCGTTTTTCAGTGGCTTGCGTCAGTGTCCAGGCTTCAACTCCATATAGTAACACTGGAAGAACGTAACACCTCACTATCCGCATCTTGGTTCCCAAACTGAGATCACTGCAGCACAGCAAGGATCTCAACTTAATAAATGTAGACCGTGCCATTTCAATTCTGGATCTAATCTCTTGAGCGTAGTCCCATTGTGAGTTGAGGGTAGTTCCGAGGTAAGTGAATCTGTCGACTCTCTGGATCTCTTCGCTACCTGCCATTAGTGCCCCGGGATCTAAATTTGTACGGCTGACAACCATGAATTTAGTTTTCTTAATATTAAGCTTCAGTCCCTATGTTACGCTCACAGTTCGCACTCGGTCTAGTAAGGCCTGCAGATCGTTTAGACTGGTTGCTAGTAACACAGTGTCAGTGTTTTTCGACTAGAGAATATATACAATCAACATTTTTAAATTTTAATGTTCGTCCACATAACTATTAGTCTAATACTAATACAGTATTATTAAATAATATAAAAAAATCAAGATCTAACATCAAAAAAATTATTCTTGTCAGTATCTAGGATACTGTAAAAAAGAAAAACATCACTCTAATATGGACCCCAGGGGGTCATATTAAAGGAATACAAAATTCTATCGGCAGTAATCGCAGATATAATGTTCAGTTTCTGTACCGGCACATTCGTGGTGTGCCCACAAAAGACAGCTATGACACTGTACCCCAGATTCCCCTCTACTATTACTTGAATAAGACTCCCCGCAAAAGATGCACACGGCGTCATCGTTATCAGGAATTGAACCTTGTGAACTTAGTTCGGAATCTGTATCCTCCTCAATATTGGAAAGATCACTTTCTTCGGTGTCAGAATCTAAGCTGGTAATACGTTTCCGAACTTTCTCTTGGGCTTTTTTGTAACAGAAAAAAATGTAACAGAAATTTTCTTATTTCCTTACTAAAATGAGATTAAAATGCACCCATAAACGTTGTATCAAGCGGTTGCAGCTTGTGCGTAGTATGAGGAGGCAAGCTGATAATGATGATATGCTTTTCACGAGCAACTTCTAGAATATCAACATTACGAGTGTGGCTGTAATGCCCATCGAGTATAAGAAGGACAAGAGAATCCTCTGTTGGATTGGTCTTTGATACAAAATGATTGAACCATTCAGAAAATAAATTGGTTTGTATCCACCAAATGTCCAACCAGAAGGGTGTACTTTTCCGATTGCTCCTGGCAGAGTCCCTTTCATTAATAAATCTGTAAAAATTTTTCTTGGAAAAATTAACATTGGTTCGATGAAAGTTTCTCCTGCGCTCATTGCGCACACCAACGTCACTAAAGACTCGCGTTCTGCTGCAGTTAACGCCCCTATTTGACTTTTAACCTTTTCGTCCTATTACTTGCGGTACTTTTGATTGCACGATTGTAAGTCCAGTTTCATCTACGTTATAGACACGGTCGGGAAAATAATTTTTTCTTGTATATTCAACATCTAGCAGATCAAAAATCTCCTTAACTGCTGGGCAATTGAATCCTTGCACTCGAGTGTAAGATGTTCCCATTGGTTTTCTGAGAGATAATTGTTTTTATGTCAATTACAAAAAAATTAAAACCCTTATTACAAAAAGCCTCTACTGCCTTTTTCATGTCGTTAGCACTCCACAATTTCCTCTTTTTTTCTCAAATTGAGGAGAAATATTAGTACCAGGCATCTGAAAATAATAAAGTGCAAACATGTAATATGGCCCCTCAATGTGTATGTAATATAGACCAGGGTCCATAATGCATACACATTCAGGGGGCCATATTAAAGCAATAGCTACGTTGTAAACAAAATATCAAAAACAATATATATATATATATATATATATATATATATATATATATATATATATATATACATATATTGCATATATATGTTCATAGTTACCTTTAAAAGTCGATATTCAATGGTTTTTCTACACACTAATCAGAGAAAGGTAATGTTTATAACTGGTTTCTTCGAAAAAACAACATATACACAAGAACGAAAAAAGTTTTCTTAGGCACGTGAATGAAATCGACTAAAGGCTAAACGCGGTAAATCTCGGGTCCTGACAAGTTTCAATAATAGTACTAATGTAATTTAAACATCTGGTTTAATGTTAAGTTGTTTATTTATTATTTATTCTAATTGGAATTAAATTCAGTTAACTACAATTCCCTATTTTATTTTATTTATTTATTTTCTTTTTATTGAGTTTAATACGTCGACAACAAATGGTCATTGGCATGGTACAGTGAATTTTCACAGTCAGGTACCTAGTGTAGTGTGTGTGTAGGTGTAGAGTAATTGTCTTGATACTTAGCAAAGTCGACGTCATTGTCTTTGCTAAGAGACGCTAATTGTATCCGAACGTCTGTGGTCCCTCCGGTGACTACCGATCGCATAAGGATAGAAATTATTTTCATTTATTAATTTTTAATAAACGAAAATTTCTCCACCCAGGTGAGATTCGAACTCACGACCTTTACGTTCAAAGGTAGGCGCTCTTACCACTGAGCCACAGAGGGGGTTTATTTTATTTTAAAGTTGGTATATTTGATTATATGTTGTGATATTTTTATTTACACTTGTAGAGAAATAAATAAACTATTAACTTAAAAAATGAACTATTTTTTTATTTTACATTTGCGGAAACATACGGAATTCTATATCGACTTTCATATGCTTGTAAGTTATAAATTACGCACAGAGATAATAACACGTCTCTTAGTGTAATTGTTATTATGAGAGAAATATAAGAAAAAGTTTAAGAAGAAAAATTTTAATTCATAAAAATGTATCTGAAGGCGAAAGTTCAAAGCTGCTTTAGGTTCTGATTTTATGTAAAACTAAAAAAAAATTTATGTTTTATTGTTGTGATACTTTCTGCAGTATGTTTTATTCTTTTACAGTCATTATTTACTAATAAGGGATTTACACGTAATCAAATATGAGGTGAGATGTTTAAAGTCCACATAAATTAAGATTATCACTGTTTTTCTAAATTGAGGCCTGTCCTGTAAACTTCAAAAAATAAAAAATTACATATTTTATTCTCTTAATATCTGTTTTTTT